GGCGGGGGGCGCCTTCGCCGTAACCATCCACCACCAGCCGCAGGACCAGGCGGCCCGGGCCGTGAGCACCGTGCTCTGGGACAGGAAGGCGGACGGCGGGTTCCCCGAGACCAAGGAACTCAAGCGGCGAGTGAGGGATGTCATCGAGCCGGGGCGGGACTTGGGACACGTCGACCGGCATCACTCTGCTCACTCTGCGGGCAGGACGGCCGGCGAATCTTCTGACGGAGCGGGTGGCGGCGCTGCTGCTGCCGCTGCCGCTGCAGGGGGCGCTATGACGGACACGCCTTGTGAGGATTGCAAGTAGGCCGCGGGGATGGCTTCGTGGAACGGCTTTCCAACGCCGTTGTCGTGTCCTATTCTTGCGCCTATAAATCAAGCCGACGACGAAGAGTGCGCGGTGATGTGGACATTGGATAAGGCCCAAGGGCAATCAATGGGTTGGTGTGACTCGAGTCGGGGTGTCTCGTCAAGCTCTTCCGCGGCTTGACAGCCGCTAGACATCATACCATGGAGGGCATCTTTGAAAATGGCAACCTTGACTAAAAGTCGACTTGGTCTATTGTGCACCCAGCTTGACTGCCTGGGTACCTAGCATAGAGGACTCCGTTAGGAACCCATCCGGGATTTCAACAATATTATGGCCAACACCGAACTGGCTAGCCGAGCCACGGACAAATAGCGAATGCACCGAGTATTGTATGCTTTAGTCATACTTGACCTTTTTGCCACCCTCTCCTACCTGTATTATGTGGGTGAGTCATAATACCGTGATGCGTCGGCATTCCGAGGCAAGCTGTGTAGCAATACCGACGGAACTAGGGTTCGGCACTCGGCGATGGACTGTCCCCATGTCCGAAAACAAACTCACGTCACATTTGGACACGACGTCGTGTATGTCAAATTTGTATATTGTATAATGAGCTAGAAGAAACAGCCATTCGTCGTGATCAAGTTCGCATTGAGCATTAGAGACGATTCGGGCTGCCCGATAGATTTTTCGTTCTGCCATTCCGCCGAACCCCCCGGCAGGCGTCCTCCCAACGTATACACAAGGCCAAAAGAGAAAAAAAAAAATACACATATAAGCCAGGAGAACACTTCCACAGAAAGGGTGCGGCAAATAGTTTTCCGTACAACCCGAGGCAACCAACCCAGCATGCTCGCGGCCGCGAACACCAGCGACGGCGCGAGTCGCAAATTACGAGCTGCACGTGCAACACGCATTCACGTGGAGAGATGTAGAGATCGAGATTCGACAGAGAGAGAGAGAGCGTTGGGGGTCAAAAACAAGTCGGATGCGGTGAGACAAAAATCGGGGCTTTGTAGTGGCGCGTCGGCGGATGTTGGAACAAATCGGTGTCGTGGACAAGTCATCCGTCGATGTAGGTGGTACAATTCAAGTCTTAGCGTCGTCCGAACCTAGAAAAGAGCAATCATGTTCGTATAAACTCGTTCATTTCTTTTGTTTCACTGTTTGGACTTGTATTTGGGAGTGACTGGTTTGCTTCCGCTCCCAAGACCACCGTAAACGTACTTTTGTTTCTTCTCAGCTGGCTTGAGGATCTACAATCGTTTGGTTAGTGTGTCGCGGTTGCAACCCAAGCAAAGGCATAGGACTAACCTGGAACGAGCAGAGCAAACTCTCGTCGACGCTCATCATGGCTCCGGCGTTATCAAACTCTCCGCAGTAGTTGGGCGCACTGAACAAAGTTACCAGCTGGCGCTTGGAGAAGAACTCGTAGCCGTCTTCGACAACCTGGTGAGCACGACAAATCAGGTCCATGTCGTGCTTTTGCAGGAACCGAGACACAACATCAGGCCCAAAGGTGAAGGAAACACCTCGGTCGTTCTCACTCCAGCCAGTAATGTCCTTGTCAGGATCCGACCAGAGCAGATCGCAAAGTAAACCACAGTCGGGAATCTAGATAAGTTAGCACCATGTCCAGACTAATAATACCCCAGAGATAATGGCTGGTTGCTGGGTACAAGGAGGAATGGGGATAGGGCAATGGCGTACATCCGTTGGCCGCATGACACGTCGAATCTGCTCCATTGAGTTCAGGTCGGGGCTGAGACCGCCGTGCATGGTGAAAATCTTCTCATCAATAATAGCGGCAATGGGAAGGCAGTTGAAACAATCGGTGAAAGTTTTCCACAACTTGATATTGTAGCGGCGCTTGCACTCATCGTAGAAACCGTAGATGCGGTTGATGGAGGCACACTCGTGGTTACCTCGCAAGATGAAAAAGTTCTCGGGGTACTTGATTTTGTAGGCGAGCAAAAGGCAGATTGTCTCGAGGGACTGCTTGCCTCTGTCTACGTAGTCACCCAAGAAGAGGTAATTGGCCTCGGGAGGAAAACCACCGTACTCAAAGAGCCGGAGCAAGTCATAGTATTGACCATGAATATCGCCACAAATCTGCCAGTGTCAGTCAGTAATCACATAGGGGTACAACGGTCAATGCCAGGCAAAAATACCTTGATGGGGGCCTCCAGCTCAAGCAGGATGGGCTGGGAGATGAAGATCTCGCGGGCTTTGGTACACAGGTATCGAATCTCGGCTTCGAGCAGCTGGACCTGCTTTCCGGGGCGGCTGCCACGCACCTCGAGCAGGCGGTCAATTATAGAATCGAGGTCGACCTCGTGTTGGTCAGCCATAATAGAGAGATCCCTTTGGCGAGGGATTGCCCGCGGGTACCGGAGAGGTGGGCGGCGTTGGCGCGTGAAAAACGAATCACTAGATGCAAGACGATGCGCAGGAGGTGGAGGCTGCGGGGGGAACGTGCGATGAAAGCTGATGGAGTGCTGATATTACGATGCACTTCAAAATCTGGACGACGTCGGCAGTTAGTAAACCAGCAATCAGGTAGCGGCACGCGTGTCAAGAGTCATGACGGCGGCAGAGAGTCGAAGCTCTCAGAAAGACGGCAATGAGGGAGGGGGGGGGATTGAGTGCATGATATTTCAGTCGCAAATTTCTCAGGTACGTGATAGATCAGAGCACATCCAAAGTGGAGGAGAGATTACCCACGGATGCCGTAGTCGGACGGCGAATGGTGGGAGGGGACCAGAGACGCCAACAAGAAACAAGAAAAAAAAAACAGCAGCAAGGAACGACTTACGGAGAAGTGATCACAGCTCGGGGTAGAGGAGCCTGGTAGGCGGCGGAGCGAGCGGAATGGATATATCTCAGATGGAAAAAAATGTATGTAGCTAATGGCACGCAGTCGATGAGATCAATCTCAGTACGGGCAAACAGACACGGTCGCCAAGGTCTGTATCGTCGTCGAGGGGTGTTGCCTTGAAGGGCGGTCGTCGGCAAGAATAGCTTCAGGAGATGGGCTGAAGCAGTCGTCGTCGGTTGGAGAAACAGGGGCCAAAAGGCGCGATGGTCGTTTGGATGGGCTCACTAGTAGCCAGGTCGCGTTGCTTCCGTCACGGGAAGGTCGTCGTCGTCCAGTGTCGCCGTTTGGCAGTTCGTCGTGGATGAGAAAATCGCTTTTCGGCGCAGTTGAATGGGGGAAGCAGCCAGCAGCCGTCGGGATGTTTTTTTTTTTCGGTTGAGGAGGGGAGGGGGAGCAGCCAAGCAGCCTAGTACGTACTTGTGTGGTCGGTAGCAGCCAGAAACAGCACGCGCCAGGCAGGCGGCGGAAGGGATTGGAGGGTCAATTGGTGCTCAATGGCACTGGGCTCTGTGTGGGCTCTGTGTGTTACTGGCGACTTGGTGCATGTACCACTGATCGCTGGGCGCCGGCCTGGTCACTGGGGCGTCGATGTTGCGCGGTCGCTGGAGCGCCAGGCTTGGGTGCCTGGTCAGCTCGGCTGGTGGAGTCTGGAGCGTTGCCCGCCTCAAGGAACCCGTGGCCGTCGTTGGGCTCGTAGGCAAGGGAGAACTCTGCCGCTGGCCGGAAGTACACCCTCCGCGGTGGTGGAAATGGCCCGCTTTCTTTCGATTTTAATTCAAAGGTTGATGCCGGCGGACACAGTTGCCTTGTGTTCCTTGTCGTGAGGTGCCGCAGCCAGCAAACTCGAGTGAGGACAACTGGACATGTGGACGGTGGCCGAGCCTTGCGGGCAGGACTTCAGATGCTTTGGTGCTCGAGGGCGCCCCCGGTAATGCGTCCGGGGGCCTGCACATGTGGATGGGGCCTCGCTGCAGCTTCCTAGTGGCTACGAGCCCACCATGCAGACACCTGGACGAATGTTGTGTGCCCGTCAATACCAGCTCTGCCCTGTGCTGCACAGCTCTAGCGTCCCCAAGTCACAGTGTCGGCCATGCAGCGGTGCGGTGGCGCAGCCTGTACCTGTAACGTCGACCTGCCCAGGTACTGGGTACTTGGGTACTCTGAATACGCGCCGGCTGAAGTGTCTCTGCAATTGCTCGAGCGCCCGTTGTAGAGCTCACGGGTGCTTGCGAATGCTGTGAGCCGTCAGACTCCAGATCTCTAATACCAGACATGTCTTTGATCTGTTGGGGTTTTGGCGCTCAGCCCCACACACGGAGAACAGAGCTCGAGAGACTTAATTTATGGAGTATGCAGTACGAGGTCATCAAATGTTTGCCTTTGCTGCCTTCCTTGGCACCTCCAAGGCTTCCGAGCGAAGCGAAATGCTCGTCGAATGCCAAGTGCCAGGGCCAGCCAGGTCATGCTCCCAGCCATCGTTGCAAAAGCACACTCAGCCCCTCTGCCGTCTACAACACTCATCAAGCTCAAGGCAATGAACGAAGGTAAAGACCAAGGTGAGGCTGATGGATGGGAGCCATGGCCTCCGTGCTGCGTACCTGGTATCAATCGATGCGTGGTGGAACAGCTGTTCTGACTCTTTGCCCCTCGAGTTCCCCTCTTTTCCATCCTAGGCCAGGTTGCTCCTTCCGCGCCACAGGTCCAAGTGCCCCAGAACCGTAGGCCCAGCGCCCAGTCCTGCTCCATGTCACCTCTCCATCGAAGATATCGTAAAGTCTGTTGTTAGCCACTCGACTGTCTGCTCCTCGATCCCATCCAGATCCGCCAAACGAATCACGAATCACGACCCAAGATGTGTCGATATGTCCATGTTACCCTGCGCCAGCTCTCGGCACTCAGGGACAGCGGCCGACGCGCAATCTTCTCATGTGCGTAGTCGATACTCCGGCTCAAGCCGCGCAACAAAAGATTCGGACGATCCGGAAGAGAAGCTCTGTCGTCTTGGAGCCGTGAACAGCCCTCTGTATTAGCCCTGACTCCACATCCAATAACCAAGGAGTCCTATGAAACCCCAACTTGTCGCCTACGTCTCTCCGTCTCTACCATTCCAAATGTTGGA